TATCCCTGTTTCTTTCTTTCTAAAACCCTGGGATTAACAACCTTCATTTTGTACCTTTGAACTCATACAGTCTGCCTCGTTAATCCATTAACCTACTAAATTTATTAACCATTTACAAACATTTTTCACCCAAAGGAAGGTACCCCGGCATTCCACAAAGGGTCAATCTGGCAAAGAGACATGTTACAATCAGTGCTTAGGAAGCAGACATGTTAAGATCCTCTATTTACAGACAGCAGAACTAGAAGACACCTATGGGTGTTCCAGTGTTACTTAATGTTTTCTAAGTGAATATTCCTCAGTGAACCTCAGTTTACAAGCCATACAACAATTATGCTGTAACTGAGCTACTTGTGTGACTTTGAAGTGCTAGTTGTTATAGCTGTGCAAAACAAGAATATTTAATATTTGCCAACAGGCAGTTATTTATTACAACTGAGAACTCTACATACTGTATATTGCACATTCTAAATGGACTGATTAACAAAATACATTTATACATAAGTTACTACCGTTTACATAAATTTATTTTAACAGCTTGTGCGTTAGGTGCTTTAGTAAACATGACAACTCTCTTCAGAGACTATTTCACAGAATATGAAAGTATGAACTTTCACCCACAGATAACATACACAAACCCATGAATATACAAAAGCCCCCAAAAAGTCTTTAAAAAGAAAATGAATACAGGGACAGAACTTTTATCAACAACCCGTTAGGTTTAAAAAAAGTTTCAGCAAGAAACAGATTTACAAAATGTAAGAATGAGACATTAACACTACAAAAACCACAGACTTGATTTTTTAAAATGAAAATGGAGGACTCTGGCATTAAAAATTCAAATCTAGAGTTTGTTTTTAGATTTTCCCCACATACTTTGGCTCATCTGAAGAAGTGGGTTTTACCCACGAAAGCTCACAATAGTGTATATGTTAGTCTCTAAGGTGTTACAGGACTACTCTTTTTTTAAAGTTACACATTTAACATGGCTATCCCTCTGAGCGCCATATACTTTGTTGCAGTCTATAACAAATATATACAATAAAGCAACTATTTGTGTATGATAGTTGAAAAAGGAAAATTCCAGTGTTTTTACATCAAATTGCCTACATTAAAATAATGAAAATTTCAGCATGAATATGAATTCAGCGATAGACGTGAATACTTCAGTCTTTTGTTAACTGTGGGTTCTGCTGGCTGCTGCAGGGAGGATGTCATAGTTTGATTTCCTTCTCCCTCAGAACTAGCTGCATTTCCACTCACTCAGCAGGTAACATTCCACTTCTCCCTCTCAAGCACCAATAAACAGCTCTCCAGAATGAATTCATTCCTAGATGGTCACCCCAAGCTTTATGACTTATTCAGTCCCATCTCTTTCCCCCACTACAACTCCCTCCTTCTTTAAAACTAACATCCAAGTGTTCCTTGTGAGTTCCTTTTACCTCATCCTCCTTCCACTCCCCCCTCTTTTGGGCAAACTTTCAGTTTAACTGCTGTGGCAACAATAGCTTCCACCCCTCTATATTCCCTCTGTAAGCTGCACAAGTGAGTGATGTGACACACCAGTGCCACTTAAATTACTCTGGTTTTCTGGAAATCCTGGAGAGATGTTTAGTGATATTTAAGTGGCTAGGTATAAGGTGCTGAAGAATGGTAGAAGTAAGGAAAATTTTCATGTAGCCAGAAGGATCTTACTGAGTGAGAAGATTAAAATTGTTTCTTTCTATCAATGAAAATGCTTCTTCCAAGCAATAAGTTTTACTTTAAATTAATGTCAATGTTTGTTTTTATACAGACTATAAAGATTCTGAAGTGCATTTCAAAGTACAATTAAATTTTCCTTTTACAAAGTTACCTTCTCTCCAAATCACGGTTGGGCAGAATGTAGTCAATCTTACAAGTGAAAACCCAATTTACCAGTGAGGTTTGAGCTGTGACAACCTCCAACATGAGTACTGTCACTTTCCTATAGTCAATTTCCTTCCCGCATCATAAAAATAATTTCCTTTAGGGGTTAACAGACAGTATGGAGGGAGGGATATAACATGTGTACTTGGGGAGGAGGGGGAAACCATGTACACTGCAAAAAGTGAGCACTTGGGCTGGAAGTAGTTTAGGAATTTTGCTGTTTTGGTCAGTTGGGGGCAAAGACAAAGGGAATGTGGGGAAAGGCAGCCTGTGCATATTCTGCCTTAACACTCAATGAATAATGCAACATCTTCAGCCATTTAACAACACACTATTTGTCTTACTAGTTGTAAGCACAGAGATTGTTATAAGAAAAGGAAAACAAGCATATTTATATAGGGAATAAGATAGCTCAAAACAAGAGGGTGAACATAAAATTTGAGACTTGGATTAGGTCTGTGGCATCCAACACATTAGCCACATGTAGCTATTTGGCTAGTTGAGTGTGGCTAGTTTGCTATAGCAGTAGCCGCTATAGCGGCTACTTGCTTTAGAACTGGTTGGACACCAAGGTATTAGCTCATTCCAAGACATAATCAGTGCTGGTGACATAACATGAACATTTTAGCGCTGGAAGGCAAGATTTCCTCCTTCTTAAGACATTAATTTCCCTCTCATTAGTAAAGCTGTACATAAAGTATCAAGAGATGAAAACATTGGAAACATCTGTCAGATACACTCATTAAAAAAGAAAACACAAAGGTAGGTAAGTAAATTCTGAAGCCTATCCATTATATATCTTCTTATAGTGTCCTTGTAATGAAAGGAGAATGGATAGGTAGTGTTTTCTTACAGATCACTTTCTAGGGGGCTGAAAGAGATGAAGGAGATGGAAATGACAAGAAGAAATATTGAGATTTCTTTATATATATGAAAATGTTCATTGCTGTTCTTACTGTCTAGAGCCTAGTTCATCCCAATACAGAATAAATACAGCAGTGCTAAAATTTAACACACCGGTTACATTTTCAAAAGGCATTCACTTTATTTTCCTTGAAAGGCAGTCACACTTTTTACAAAGCTTAAAAACCTAAAAGTTTAGAAAGCCACAGCAATGAAGTATTTCATGGTGTTAAAAGACAAAGTACTACCCCTGAGATTCAAACGTTAAAGCTTTCTCCACAGCCACATGTTCCTTTGATGTTTGGGTTATTGAAGACGAATTCACTAGACAGTTTGTCTTCTACATAGTCCATTTCAGTTCCTAGTAGTGTCAGCTGTGCTTTCTTTTCAATAAACACTCGGACTCCTTCAAGGTGATAAAAACAGAACAATTATTATGTAATCTGACAAAGGTCTTCTACTTTTCTTGTGTTACAACACAATCTGTTAGAGAACTAGGATATAAAATGAAGCTAAAACCAGAAGTCTGTCAATGTAACTATTATTGCATTTTCTTGCTTCTTTGAGGATAACTCCTTCATCCTTTTCTTGCTTTTGCTACGAGGGAGGGAAGAGCTGGGCTCAATGCCAGACCCAGCTGCTGGGGACGGGAGAGGGGAGGCAAGGCCAATCTCCCCCCAGGCCTGGCTCTCAGCGCCCCACCTCCAGCTGCAGCCAGCCAGGCCT